CACCTTAGAAGTAGATCCCAGAGTCGCTTTGTCAAACTTAGCCGACGTGGAAGCTCCGAGAGGAAATGATGCTCCATTAGATGTCCGTGACACAGATGACATCATCTGTTGAATGACCTTCACCTGATCATTCATCTCTTCCTCTCGATTATCCTCCAGTGCTTCATTTACAGCGGCAAGGATCTAAAGAACACAGCAAGGACGACATCTACCATGAAAATAATGGCATGAGTGTTAATAACGATATCAGCGCTAGCAGACCACACTTCCAACGAATTCGACAAGTATATACGCTCACACCGTTCTGAGAATGCCATGATGTTGTACATGCGGAAATCTCACGTCATCGTTCTGGTCATGCTGCTGTTGATGACCCTCGAGCAATGCTTTAGCCTCTAACAGAGTCTTCTTTCCCTTCTCCTTGTCCTCTTGACGCTGGCATTCACCCAACCTCAACAGGATCTACCCACAAAACCCTCTTGATAGACTCAAGAGTCCCAATCATCTACGGCAAAGGTATACTCACCACAGCTCTTTCTCTCGCATCAACAGGTGGACAACATTTATTGCAGATTTCCAGAGCCTGACAAATAACGAGATGCCGAAGTTCAGAGTGCAGCCTCTATGACTTTTTCGAATTCCTCGCAGGCCTGAGGATACCGCTCCTGCAGTTGCAGGAAGTCCCCAAGTCGGCTATGACAGCGCCTGATATTAAGAAAGATCATACTACAGTCTACCGAGCTCACAGGCCCTGTCCCCGATTAATAACGCGTAACATTGTATTACTAATACACACGACTTGCCCATCCTCATGCACCTGGCGAGGTCCCACGGCATCTCCTCCTCCGTGAAGAGCTGCAAGCAATTACGGCACTGCTCGAGATTCTCCCAAGCTAATTGAAGGTCATCCACATCCGACTCGGCATCCTCATCTATTAAATATACCTTCGAGCGTTTCACGGTCACTCGCGGCCACAACTACCTGCCCCCTTGCCAGTAGCAAGCTCTCTCTCCCTCGTTGCTTTGACCATATCAACTGCCTCCTGCAGTCGATCCATCGCACTCTTCGATGACGACCCTACAGTCCACTGCACCTCAAGCTCCACTGTGAGCATCTACCTCCCCCCAACACGTTATCCATATCACTGCCATTCTCCCCACCATCCGCATTCAAGATGTCCAAAGACTCTTCTTCCTTCGCCAGCAAACAATCCCTGAAATACAGTACCACCACCATGGATGAACACAGCATGGGCGAGTGTAGGAAATTTCACTGGATCATTTCCCTTTCGACCACATCACGAGAGGAAGACGCAAGATCCCCACCAAACGGTGTCCCAAGAATACCCTCCCTACCCAAAGTCGAAGAGTACTGCCGCCATCGCCTTGCACGTATCCGTTCCTTCTTGATTACAAGTAATCTCACAGGCATCACCAAGCAAGTTACATGCCCTATCAATTTGACCCTTCTCCCGGGCGATCTTCGCCAGCTGCCTGCACATGAACAACCGTATCGACAGGTGAACACCTTCTACCATCATCACCTCAGCTCATCAGGATCACTAGTTAACAGCTCCTGATCGACCAAAGTGTCCTTCCCCTCCTCTACAGTAGCTGCACCCTCATTGCATTGAGCAGTCATGAGATGAATGAGTCCCGCTGAGAACACTCCCCATTTACAACTTCAACACAATGAGACCGTTATCCTAGCAACAACGAAGTTATCAAAATCATGAGCACAACAGTGAACCTTGCATGCATATACCCGCATTTTGCTAATTCCTACTCCTTCGCTTCATCTCCTCCCCCCAAGAGCACCAGCCAACATGTCTGGATTGATTTCAACTGATGATATCCTCACCGACGATTTCCGTCGGGACTCCATACACTTCATTCGCGACAGCCATGAGATGCAGCCTGAAGACCTTAGTCGTCTCCACGAACATCTCCCTCCTTCACCATTCTCCTGTCATTTTCGCTCACGACTAGGCTAAGCTACGATCTAATGAATTTCACCGAGTCGCTTGAAGCGACTATGATGCACAAAAGACTACTACTAAAGTCACATTAGTCAGCAAAGCAAATGGCACCCTTCCTTCCCTGTTATTACCCCTCAAATAGTCTTCCTTGATAGCTTCCTTAGCATCCCCTGAGGCCGTCGACACTTCCGCTATCTCCCCCACCTGCACAGAGAGGATTCAGCGTCCCTCCAATGTTCCAGCTCTTACCACAGGAACTTCTCCCGAGTCGAGCACATCATGCACACTAACCGAGATAATCTCGTCAACCTAAACTCTATCAATGCACTCGTTAATCATCGTTATTAATACTACCACAACTGGCACCAGCGTCCCCTCCTCATCAGCATCCTCCTCTATTGCTAAATGCTTATTCAACACCAGTAGCTCCTTCGACCCCTTCACCGTCCCTCCACAAAGCAACTCCGGCGCGGACTCTTTCCCACTGCTCATCTATATCGGCAATAACGATGGAATTTCAATTACGACAGCGACCTTAGGTGCTGCTCCTCCTTCAACTGATGAGCCAATGAGTCTCTGCTTCCACACAAGAGCGATTCTCGACAAGTCAAGGATCAACGCATATGGGCAGACCTGAATCCGCCATCCGACCAATTACCGCGCGCCACAAAATTCACCTCGACGTTATCCACACCACGATGAAGATACATCTGCATTTGAACACAATTGTCCTCCGGTACGAAGTTCCGCCTGCGAAACCAGTTCATGCCCTCTCCAAGGGATCTCCCCTCACTGGATGATCGTCAGCTGTCTAGTCGACACACGAAGGAGGGTGCCGAGGTCCTCTTTAACCGCAGTCTCATACGAGATAGTCTGCCCCTTCACATGAGGATGGTTCAACCTCTCCTCAGACCATGTAGCCTCGGACATCTAAACAGTTCTCCTTCACCTATCACTTCCGTTCATAAGCCTTTAATTTCTGATTCTTCTGCTCCAACGGTAACAGCGTAATGACGTATAAACGATCAAGAGGCACACTACCCGACCCATTCAGCGCCAGAGCAAATTCGAATGACTTCGACCACCGCTCCTACATTCCTTATAGTGATAGTAAAGCCCACGCCCAAGCAATGCAACGCTGACGAGGTATGCGTCGTCAAAGATGATGCCGACCCAATGGAACCTACCAGACGCCACTAGTATTCCCTCACCTATCTAAGCAAGAGTACCTCTTCTCAACTGTTGTATCACCCCAGCAGATGGCATTGAATACAACCCACCATACGACGGTTCGGTGCTCGACAAGAAAGCCCCGTACACTTCCCTGACCAAGATCACCAATACAGTGAATACCCTCTCTCTTTCCAATTAAAGCCTCAAACAGTCCAACTCCTCACAAATCCACTACTGCAAATTCCGAAATGATCCCTTCCCTTCCAACCTCCCAGTGCAGTCCGAACAGAGGAATCGTCGATAGTGACCTCCGAATGCACACTCAATGCATACCTTACGACCAGCACTACCGCAACCTTCACAGAGGATATAACTAATAACAAACTCCTCCGTAACCCGATACAATAATACCTCCACTCACTTCTCATCACCACAGACATTCACTCGGCATGCTGCATGCTTCATCGGACATACCACTACATCCCCAACAGCACACACGCCACACACCCATCCTTCATCGTCGCAAACTAAACAAAGGAAGACTCCCTTCCACTTCCCCTATGCTGTAGGGCCATTGTACATGACCAACGATGAGGCATCACGTAGAGCAACTACACTTCCTTTCACTCCTCCATCCCCCCCTCAACTCACTTAAGCAGTGATATTCCAAAAACCGTGTTTCATGTTCACACCAATCACATCTCCTCCACCGAGCATCCTCATACCTATATACGAACAGCGTTAACGCAGCCGGAAGATTCCTTCCTACTTAGCACAAAGAGGGTTGTCATCTTCACCTAGACCTCGTAGCTCCTTCACGTCCCTCTTCAGCTCATCCATGCTTCTCACAGATACCCCATGACCAAACCGACAAGTCATCAGTCCTCCCCCACTTACACCAAGATTGCCGAGATAAGCGAGTACCTTAGTGGTTTACCATACTCTAGCATACTCTACACGGTCATTGCTGCACAGTGGTTAGCATGCATACTCTACTGCCGACAGGTTGTGGATTCAATTCCAAGTCACCACTACTGCACTTTATACAGCTCTACGCAAACATCAGTAGCGTGAGCTGTAATATTGTCATCGAAACTACCGTATACTCTTCTGCCTCCCCTCTCCTATCCTCCCTGGCCATAGCACCCACCGGTCGTCCCTTGGCGTACTCATTGACCTTCTCACCATCATCCACCGATTTCTCGAAGGTCCGCTGGATGGAGAATTTAAACGTCGACTTGCTGGCCTGATATCTCAGCATTGACATTTCGTGGCGCAGTGACGCGTTACTAAATAGAAGCTTCCTCTGGAGCTACTCACAGACCCCTCGCCATCGTCTTCAACGTCGGAGGGACGAGTGTCCGTGTCATCCTCGTCGATTTCATCCGTCAACTGAATAAGTGGGGAAATTATAACCAAATAGGGAACTTTTCACCCACTTTCAATTTACGTAGGAACTCTATCACCCTCCCTTCCTGCGAGGGATCTCCACCCAACTCTCCCTCCATTTGAGTCAGCAGATCCTCACTGCTCAGGGATCCCAGTCCTATGAGAAACACATCAACAAACTCATTACGCTCATCTCAACGCGGCAAAGTCCCGCATAGAGGAGCAACCGAGGCAACGTGTAATTCTAAAATTCAATTCCAACCTCGCAAATTTTGAAGCTATGTGACATAAAACTAGACTGGAATCAGTCCAAACCCTCAAGTCCAACCTGTCCACCATAATACACATAATACACCCTCCTGTCCGGAATACAACAC